GTAAAGTGCAACATAAATGCAAGAAGCAAGTGTCCATCTCATAGTCCAAATCACTGAAATCAAAGTTCAGTATTATAGTGTAAGAATGACAACATATCCACGTGTTCTAGTCTACTAATAATAAAATTTTAATCAAAAAACACTTTTTAAAGGAGTATTTACCAGAAATATTATTTACCAGAATTTATTTAGGAGAAAAAGATAAATGTGCAGTATTTCTGAAAAAAAAAAAAAACTTTACAAAATAAAATAAAATCAATTAATTGGAGATGCTTTTGATTATTACAATTTTATGGAACCATTAAAATAGAATCCAGAAAATAATGGAAAACAGAATTTGGTAAAGATAAAACTGTAAAACTCAAACTTTAACCATTAAAACAGAGTATAGAAAAACAAAAATGGAAATAACTGAATTTGGAAATAAAACGGATTTCATAGTGCCCTATAATTATAATAAATTTTTTGTGGTAATAAAAATAGATGTAAGTGAACAATAGCCTTTAAAATTACTTAAAATACATATATAATAGCAATGAGGCAATAATAATTAGTTCAAATAAAGTATCAAAAGCAAGAAATCATATGGTTTTATTGAACAAAATTGTTAAAATACATAATGTATTATAAACAGTACATCACGCATTACAACAAAGGCCTGCAGAGGGCGTCAACGGCCTGATGATTGTTTACACATTGCTGTGCGATCTAATACTTGTTTAATATTGACCAAGCAAATAGTCGAATGAAGTCGACGAATCGCGACAGCCCTATTTCACACCTCACCTATTAATAAAATATCATTTTTATAAGTTTTATTTTAGTTTATTTATGCAAATCAGTTGAAACAATTCTTGTAGATTATTTGATTCAAAACTCTGATTCAAAAATGTTCACAGACATTTTCATACATTAAAAGGTTTAGTAAATTGTCACACTGTTGCATATAAATGAAAATGACCAAATATCTCTCTTTGTGTTCATTTGGCAAAAACATTCCCTGAATATTTTTAACTACATTTTTACTTTGTTTTTTTTTTACCTCTTGCTTTAAGTATTTTGAAATAAATCAGCTAAATTGGTAGAAATTATCCTCTGGTTGAAATGTCATGCTAAAATAACGATTTATATTGGTTATACAAAAATAGTGATACAAAAATATTTTTTGCATCAACAGCTGATACAAGAATAAAGCAAAAAGTGTATCCTTTATCACGTTACTTTTTTCTATGGTTAGATTGACTCTTTTTGTTTTGCTTTTGGTGTGAATAGGCCTTAAAATTGTTAGCAGCTAACTGATTCCACCACACACACACACAAATATATGAGCAGGCACTCATGAATACACACTTCCATATGGGCTATGTGAGTGTGAGTGAAGCTGAGAATTCAGCAGTGCTCCAGTGTGGTGAACACATTGGCATTTCAACCTCAGACTGGTAGACACAGTGAAATTTATCCCGTCCATCTCTTTGTCTCTGTCCCAAACCATCTACACTTCTTGTCACTCTCTTGTTTGTCCAGATAAATGGTACTGTCAAAATGAAAAATATACACAGTCTTGTTTGACAATAAATGGTCTTGCTGCTGAGAGAGTCTCCCATGACTTCACATGGAAGTCAAATCTGAACTGAATAATGGTCTAAGTGACAATTATTTGAAATAAGTTGAAATTAATGCTTAATAAAGCAGTTCCGCACACAATGTATCAAATGTATCAAAATGCAACTATGACATGAAATCTACAAACAAAGTCTAAAGCTGTGATTTCTCAAGCGGCAATGTTGTGCAGCTCATATGTTGTAGCTGCATCTCTGAAGACAATTGGGAGGAAGAAACAGCATCTCTTCAGCAAATATTGATTCTCTAAATGCAGTCAGACTAGACCGTAATGATTTGCCTGCAGCAGCTAGCAGGACTGGACTGAATCCTGTACATCATGACAAGCCACCAAACATTCCCACATCGATCTTCATTGATTAAATTCCTGAGAGAAAACACCACGTTGAGGGTCACGAACAAAATTATTTAAAACAATTCAAGAAATCTTCAAAGCGAAAAGAGCAAGCTGTCTCTGCGTCTAATCGTCTCTTCAAACCTGACCTTTTCTGCATCAGACTGCCAGTGGTTTAACACGGTCCTCACATTGAACCTTCACAACAACACAGCAAACAGCAAAAACAGCAAAAAAGTGAAACAGAAAGAAGAGAGAATCTGAATGTTTGGATAGGGGAGCGCCTCAGGTTTAAGTTCTGATATAGTGTGGCAAAGATCGTGGGCTAATTTTGAGACCTCTGAAAATTTACAGGATTGTGCAGATTTATATGACTTTAATGGCAGGGTAGGTGATTTGGTCTTCACATCTTCACATCCCGATAACAATCACTAAGTTAAGTGGTCTAAATGTATTTACCGGTATATGTATTATATATCGTCTGTGGAAGGTGTAGGACCATAAAATGTTCCTCCAATCATATACCTTGGTCTGAGGGCTACGATAGGCTGTCCTACCAATGTATTTGCATACCTCAGTACACCCTATTTGCACAGACATGATACATAATTGGCGCATTCCATTACACTATTGCAGACCAAGCAGGAGTGGATGCTTTATTATTGTATAATATTATAAGCTTTGTACAGTAATGTTTTCTTACAGGTGAATGAGCCATGAGGTAATATGACAGCGTTGCATTCAACCGTCCACCAACGCCGTCTCTCATCGTGTCACTGGTTAGCCTCTGGTCTGCCTGTGCGCATTCATGTGTTTTGGAGGAGGCGTGGCTTTGGAGAGTGATTTGCAGGGAGGGTGGGATCTTATGCTTTCAAAGCTAGCTTGCAATGGCTAGCCTACCCTACCTTCAATAGATGTAACACGATAAGAAGGATAACAGCTGAACATCACTGATGGGAAGTCTGGCCATTAAACCGTTCAGTGTGTGTCAAAGAACCAGTTTCAAAAAATAATTCAGTGGTTCTATTATATAGTGTTATATTATCTAAAATGTTTTAATAAAGTCATATATAATCCAAATATAATTTGCATTAAATAATAATACAGTTCTGCTGTTTGACTATTAAACTTCCTTATCATCCTATCAGTCAAATCCTTATTAAATTTTAAAGAGCAGGTCATATGGTATTTTAAAGTGTCCTAATATTGTGTTGGAGCCCCCTACAACAGGTTTAAATGCATCTAAGGTCAGAAAACATTGCAATTTTCTCAGAATATACATTTAATATTAGAGTCATTTGCCAATGATTTCTAAACGATTCGTTCCAAGCAAGTTCGGAGCAAACCCCTCCCTTCCATAAGCCCAGTGTTCAAACTATACCGTGGACTTTGGGGGAGCCCACTGGGTTTTTT